TCCTGGCATAGTACCTCCACCATCTTCTTGGGAACCTCACACGTTCACCTTCAACAACAAAAGCTTCTTAAAAAGAAATTTTGCAGTCAAGACCTCCAAGTTTCAGGATCTCAAAGCTAGGAATATTCAATCCTCTAAGCTCCACCAAGAAGTTGACAAATAAGTATGAACTTCGAGACCAATCTATTTTAATGAACTTATCATAAATATTTGCAACTTCCTTAAAAACCTCTATGGACCAGGCAATAAGAGGAATATTTGAGATATAAATCCAAGAAACACGTGGTTTGATAAAAGAATGTTCCATTGCTAGGATCTATTTTTCTGCCACCTGATCCATCCCTCGAAATTGACAAAACCGTTGATGAATAATTCTGTATGCCTCTTCCGGCGACCCCATAGAGCATACTATTTTTCCACCCTAAATGCTCTACACAAGCTTGGGGACTTTGTTCATGATTTGTTCACCCAAGATTGAAAAGCGATGATCTCTCCAAACTTAGATTTGAAGCCAACACTCATCGAAAAATAATTATTTTTTCCCTCTTCTTGATCATATCATCCCCAAACTACTACAATAGGATTCCTAGTGAACAAGGATCCCTCTGTAGATTGGAGAACCAGAACGTAGGAAGGCTTCTTGTTGATCATCTCCCAGCAAAATCTTAAAGCTTCTTCTCTCTCAAATTTTTCCCATGGTTTCCTCCTCTCACATCCTCTATACTCTTGCTCAAAATGAGTAACAAGGATTATAATAAGGGATTGCATACTATGAGACCATTTATCTTTAGTTACAAGGAGGTCACAATCAATGCTAACCATTAAATGTCCAATTGGATGATTTGGGTATGTCAAGAAGTACAAAAAATATTTTTTTAGGCTTTGAGATTAGTCACAAGTACATTTATAATCACTTGATTTCAAATTTGATGGACAAGAATGGTTGTAACCTCCTTGTACCAAAATAAATGGTCTCTCAGTATATTTTTCCTTACAATAATGAGAGGAGAGTTTTAAGCACAAAAGGTCTCTCTCTAAAAATAAATGGTCTCTTATTTACTTGAAATTAATGGTCACTTAGTATACTTCTCCTTATCTATACTACATTATTAAGGTAGAGTTATGAGGTGGAGATATGTCGCGAAAATAAGAAGGGCCCTAATTCTAGAGTGTATGTAGGGCACATAACTTCGAAATTTAAAAAGCATACGGTGCCTAATTTAAAAAGCATAAGGGAGAGAGAGACGTGAGAAAATGTGGAGAAAAAATTGTGAGAGAAAAATTGAGAGAAAATCAAGGGGAAAAATAAGTTTCATATTTAGGAGAGAGATGAGTACGTGAGAATGAGAAGAAGATAAAATATAGAGAGAAAGTCAAGGGAAAAAAAGGTTTCCATATTTAGGAGAGAGATGAGTACCTGAGAGAATGAAAATTAAAAGATAAACTATCTTTTTGAGTTTTTGAAAAGAATAAATGCCAGAGATTCTTGAAGAGAAAGATATCTACAAATTTTAGAAAGAAGGTGTACATGCTAATAAGAAGAAGCTACAAGAGTTGACATGTTTAAATGTTTTAAAAATAGATTGGCATGAATATTGAAGAAAAAGATACCTACTATATGTCACCATATTTCCTTAAGCCCGTTATTATCTCAAAAAAGTCTTTTGTTGGTTGCTTTTTGCACAAGCGTAGGCAAGCTTTGAGATTGTTTTTTAATATATTTAATTCTGCTTTTGTTTTGTTTTTTTTTGTATTTTTTAAATTTTATGATCCAGAAAACAGTATGACAATGACTTATTATTTGTTGATTTAGAGTGTTGTCCTATAGTTTTTTTTCTTATGGAGCATGTGTCTTTTTTTTTTCCTTTTTTAATTAGTTTTATTTTTCTTCCAGCTACTTAAAGCTTAATAGTCGGCTATGGGCAATGTATTAACTAACTCTTTCTTTTTTATGTATTTTCTCTATCTCTCACTTAATATATTATTCAGAACTTTTATTTTTAGCTTTTTTCCATGCTTTCTAATACATGATGAAGTCCATAGTTTTACAAATGCACTAAATCATACCGTATATGACCATAGTTCTTGTCTTAAGCCCCTCATTATTTCGACTGTACAGAGATGAATAGGATTCCAATATTTACCTATAAATGAATATTGAGAGAGAGAGAGAGATTTTACCTATGAATATTTATAATCTCCTTTTTTTTTTTTGAGAGAAGTTGAACTCCTTGCCACGTACAATCTTAACATCAAGTATTAAAGGTAGTTTTCCCTTGCTCATATTTTTTTGAATTTCTATTATAACTTCTATAAAATTTTTATTTTTTTTATTTTTCTTTATCATATTAAAAATAATAATTTTAGCACGTTTAGCCTTTGAATTTATCTGTTTAATGTTTTTCAGTTGACTGCTGGATGTTTCACCAAATATTATGTTTTATAGATATTGGAGACCCATTCTTGATCTGCTACATTTTAAATTTATTGTTTGTTTTTTTTTGTCAATGCTCTCATAAAGCAAACTAAAATAAAGAAAAGAACATGAAAAAGAACAATATCCAGTTTTTTTTTTAATCTTTACACCTTTTTTTTTTGGGGAAAAGTTTATATAGAGCCAAGGCTCTAAACAATCAAATTTAAGCCTACATCAAAAATTTCACTAGAAGAGGTTGTTTTGATGCCCTAATATATTAAAATCGATCATCTTGACATCAAGATGCATGGACATGAGAAAAAAACGGAATTCAAGTTTTAGAAATAGTGTATTTTGCAATGCATTTTTTGATCGTCAATTTTCAAGATTTCAAGTTTTGATATATTTGTCGATCTACACTATTTTTGAAGATTTAAACTTTATAAATAAATATGAAAATATATTTTAAGGCTATCACAAAGATTTCCAGTATTGAAACCACATTTCTCGATACTATTTGAAGGTAGGCTCTAATTTGATTGTTTAAAGCCTGGGCTCTATACAAACCACACCCTTTTTTTTCTGCTACTCTCCGAACACACTAAACATGGTTAGAGAGGTAAAAAAATCCAATAGTGACTACCAGCATCACGTAAAAGATGAGCTTCCCTTTACTGGGCACTCTGTGCACTAGACGTAAGTTATATGATAGAGCAATGATTTCATGCAACTGTTACATCATAATATAATGCAACGACACTTCTAGAAAACCATGCTTGTGTTATTTGTATGACCCAAATATGGCACACACTCTCTTTTCATCTCAATTATCAATCCAAAAAAAAAAAGTTCAATTTGAACCCTAGATATGGCCAAAATGAGTCCCTTCCAAAAACGAATCTAAACCATTCATTTCGTGAATTTCAAGACCTTAGTTTTTATAAACTCAAAATAATTTTTTTTTTGTTTAGCATTGTTCATCTAATGATAATAAAGCTATCCAATAAGATTGAAAATGAAAAAATCCTTCTAAGGCCTAGATCTAAGTGTCTCACCAAAATGAACGACCTATGTTAATTGGGCTAAAAAATTGCTTTTTAGGTCGTGTTTTCAAATTTTTTTTCTTTTTAAATGCTTTTTATGATTGTTTATTAGAATTAAAAAAATGTATATTTCAAAATTTGGATAAAATAAATGGCCATAACATGGTTTTTGAAGTTTGTTGCATTATATTATGATGCAGCCGTTGTATGAAATCATTGCTCTTATACTATTGAGGCTCAACTAAAAGGTAAGTTGTAATAACTTTTTTTTTAATTTATTTTTTTGGTTGTCTCCTTTTGTAGTTTTTTTTTAGGGATTCTTCCAATTTCGTGGAGATGAACAAACACATTCATCTTAAAATATAAGTTGTATTTTTATCTTATCTATTTTTAAAATTTTATTTTTTTTCTGTATATTGTAGAACAACATTAGTAGCATCGTACTAGAAAAACTTTGCCTTTCCTAAGGTATGAAGTTATTATACTTAAATTTCGTAAGGACCTGCTTAGAAGTAATTGATCTATCTCATCGTTGCTAATAACTTTTATGGTCTATGTATATATTTATTTTTATAATTTTTGTTTTCAATTGAGTAAAGTTTCATGGCTTTCATGTTTGGAGATGTGCTTATGTTTGTTGGATTTGTGCCTTCTATGTGGATATTTACATAAAGAGTGCTGTTTGTATAGGGCCAAGTAAGGGGCACTTTCAAATAGTGTCAAGAAATGTGGTTTCAATATTGAAAATTATTGTGATAGCCTTAAAATATATTTTGATTTTTAATTATAAAATTTAAAGCTTAAACAATAGTGTAGATTGAGCATATCTTTGAAAGCTTGAAAATCTTGAAACTTGATGGTCAAAAAATACATTACAAGATGCACTATTTCCAGAACTTGAAATCCACTTTTTTTCTCCTGCCCATGCATCTTGATGTCAAGATGATCGACTTGACGATATTTGGGTATCAAAACAATCTCTTCTAGTATCAAGATGATCAACTTGAGTATATTTAGGTATCAAAACAACCTCTTCTAGTGAAAGTTTTGAAGTGAGTTCGGATTTGATTGTTTAGAGCCTTGGTTCTATATAAACTTTTTCCTTACATAAATGTTCATTGCATATTTATGTAGTATTTAAACTTTTTCCTTACATAAATGTTCATTGCATTTTTATGTAGTATTTATTACATATTTACGCGATTATTATACCATCACTTATTTAATTCATACATGCAACTCCAAACAGTAATAATGAGATTAGGAAAGGATACGGAGTCGAAGTGGTAGCATCCCCACATATCTAGCCACTACATTGTGGTTTTCTAACACTGCCCTACTAATACTTCAAAGAATCAAACTCCTAATCTACTTATAAAAAAAAAGAAAAAAAAAGAAAAAGGACAAAAAAAAAGAAAAAGAAAAAAAAGAAGAAGATTGTCTTCGCCATTGAATTTGAGGAAAGCCCTTTTCCATCCCAACCAATAAACACCACTTTACCGACACCTTCTTAAAAACATAAGCTCTTAATCTAGGCTGCCTTCCCCACTGAAATTTACCCCCCAAAAAACAAAGAAGGGGAGATTTTTAAGCCCGACAGGTCTCTGTCAAAGAATCAAGAGCACAATAAACCTCTTCTTCTTCGAACTACAAAATCTGTACCCCGAGAACAACATTCATCATCTATTCCTCCACTTCTATCGCGGCAATCCTCATTCACGTCTCTCGCAGCAATCCTCCGTCATTCACGTAACTACAAAATCTCTCTCGCACTCTCTATCTTTAACAATTTAATTATCAAATAAGACACCGTTCAACCCCTCTCCAATATCGAATATCATGGCCATTGTGCCGGAATTCGGGCCGAGACTCCATAAATGGTGGTAGAAATTGGCTCCTATGGGCGACTCCTCTGCTGATCGAGGAAGGGATTTTATTTGCGGCTTATAGGGAGATAAGAGAGCAGGGGAGAGAGGAGAAGGGGTTGAAGTTTTTTTCAGTCCCCCTCTCCTCCTTTCACTCACCTGAAGCGGAAGCTTTCGCCGTTATTACTTCTCGATGATGGCCGTGCGATTACCGTTGCTCGGCCTTATTTGCGTCCCTATTTTGCACCTAATTTTGCACATTAATTTTGTCCGCTCAAAGTGAGGTACGGGTATGCATTTCATCTTTCTTGATTCTTTCAGTTTTTCTTTTCTTTTCCATTTTTTGTTTTATTACATTTTCTGTTGGAAGGAAGGATGTCCTCCCAATAATAAAGTCTGAATGTTTCCGTAATAATCGATAAATTCATGAAATGAATGTTGATTCCTAGAATCCACCCTGTCTTAACATGATCAATTTTCTTTGTAATTACTATGTTCATTTACTAAAAGACTCATCTGTTGTTAGGTAGATGTTACTCCCCTCTTGATTTTCTTCCTAGACGAACTGCTCCATCTATATCTGGTTTTCCCTTTCAGGTGAACCATTTCCGGGGGCGTTCCTGTTTGAGGGGCTCGTCCAGACGGGAGGGGCTCGTCCAGACGGGAGGGACTCAAGGTTGAGTTCGAAGAAGGAGAAATCAGAAGAAATAGGGTGGAGCAAACGAGGGATTGTTCGCTATTTGCTAAGCTGAGTTCACTAAAATGGTTCAGTGGTAGTCAATGATTTGGGAGTTATAGAAGAAATACATCGCAAATTTTTCATTAAACTGTGTTGTATATCGAAATTCATAATGGACGATGGGGATCAAGACTACATTTTCTTTGGGACCCCTATTGAGAGGGAGGAGGAGCTTTCTGGTCGGAAAAGGAAGATGGCTGCTGAGGCTGGACAAATGCGTAGCCTTCCTCCTTGGAAGCAAGAGGTATGAACACTCCTATTCCCAATTTTTGACGCTATCCATTTGAGCAGGCAATGTTTGTGAGAGGTATACTTGATGGGTGCTTTATGCGATAGTGCAATTTTGTAGCCTTGTTGCAATCCTAATTTGAATTGCTTTGCACAATGTGAATTTTAGGTTAGAGATGATGAAGGACGTAAAAGATTCCATGGAGCTTTCACTGGAGGATTTTCGGCTGGATACTACAACACTGTGGGTTCGAAGGAGGGTATGCTTTAGGAAGCTACATTGTGTTGTCAATTTTTGGGGCTAAAGCTTTTCCAGTTTCTTGCAACGGAAGAACAATCTTTGTGTTAAATGTGCAGGTTGGACTCCTCAGACATTCACATCTTCTCGTAAAAATAGAGCAGAAATGAAAGAGCAAACCATATACAACTTCTTAGATGACGATGAGAAAGTGGTATGCATTTTGTTGTCACTTATCTTTTCATAATCAGATATTCCCTTTCACAACTTTACTGTTAGACAAGCCATTACAAAATTACTTTCATGAAATTTGCAAGCATTATTTCAATGCTTAAACTTTAAAATTCTGGTTTGGTGTTCATCAAGGAAGCACATGCTAGTTCTGGTGAATAAGACTTATAGTTGACTGAATGCATGTGGTACGCATGCTAAAGCTTGTTCTAGTGAACAAAAATTGACAACTTTGTTTGGGCTAGTACGTGTGAGAGAGTTGGCACAAATTGGTTCCAGTTGCATTCCCACGATAAGAAATATTGTATGTGTGTCGTTGTAGTATTTTCTTTGTGTTAGTTTTCTATTAACAACAGTTTCTCTTGAAGTGAAAAGTGGAAAGCGAAATATATACTATCGCATGTTCCCGGTGGAGAGTCATTGTGCCTTGGGAGTAACTCCTCTGCCCTCATTCCCTCCCATACCTGATCCTCCACTCTACCAAACCTATGCCCACCTTGCCTGCCCTCAACCCCTTTCCCCTTGGCCATCCGCCACCCCTTCACCCCCCCTTTCTCCTCTTCCTCCCACCACATAACCCCACTCATCCACCACCCTTCCCCTGTCCACTCTCCTCTCCTCTTTCCATCACCATCTGTCCCTACCCAATCCCTCGTCTCCACCAGCCTGCCTTGCCCCTAACCTCTTGGCTGCAGTTCCCAACCTCCTTTGCATCCCTTGCTTGAAAACTTCACCCAACTCCTCCCTATCGCTCCAACATTCACTGGTAGGAACTTTCCACCCTCCTAGAGGCGATGTGAGGGGCATTGAAAAATGGGGTAAGGTTTATGGGGAGAACTCTACTTTTGCTGTCGCAAACTCCCTGACAACCTCATCGTTTTCCCTTCCAATTCCGTACCTTTGAGAGCCCTCAATGGCCTTCCCCCACCTTCCAAGGAGCTTCACTCTCTTTATCCAAATGGAGGAAAGACTTAGGCGCCCACACCAAGCAGTAGAGAAAAGAAGAAAAGTTCTTCCTTAGTTTGATTGACAACCTTATTTTGTACCTTTTGTTGCTTATTCGTGTGCTGGATTAAATTTCCTGGTCTCCTTTTGCATCAGTTGTACGAGATTTATTAAGAGTTGGAGTGCGAGCAAATGTTCTTGTAACTTATAACATCATTGCATATTGCTGATTAGAATAAAAACATCATCAATCGTCTATGGTATTGTGTGACTGTTGTTTTGGCTTTATCATTGGCTGTGGCTTTCTAGACAGCACTTGCATTTCTCCTGTGTTCTTCTTATCATTACATGGGGATGCAAAAGCAATTACTTGGATGTCTTGCTGATCTTCATTAATTTATGTTCATCTTGGATATATGACTCACAATTCATCTAGGCATTTCAATTCCACTTAGGTGCAAAATATTTGATTGCTAGGTTTTTGTTGAAGCTCCTCTGCTTATTTGTTTCGTCTACTTATTTATATTTCATGCTATATTAATGTCGCACGTGACTTCTACTTGGCATGTAGGAACTGGAGGGTCGTTCATTGGGTATGACATCACAATTTGATACATTTGGATTTACAACTGCAGAAGTTGCACGCAAACAAGTAGAGAAGGAGCAGCAAAAGAGGTTGATATTGACTCGCGTTTCAAAAACCTTTTGATGTTATTTTTTTGAGAAGAAAAACCTTTTGAGATTTTTTTTTTTGATGAACATTAACATTTGTATTGCTGTATAAAGGAGAATACAAGTTTGGGTTAGTTCTAGAGTACCCACTAGATGGGACTCTCGGTAAAAAAAAAAAGGTCAATAGGCCATATACAAAATGGGGTTATATGCTTGCCCCCTTACAAAGTATACGGAGGGGGAAGAGGAGGAGGAGGAGGACGACGACGAACCATTACAGTCCAGTTCCAATAACCTTTTGAGATTATTAATTTTTTGAATTTCTTATTCGTTGGTGTTCAGACATTTTAAGGCCCACCCTATAAACATCAAGTCTAAAGCAGTGATTCAAAAAGCGGACCACCCAGCGCTTAGGCCGCTTAGGCAATCCGAAAGGCCTGGGCTCATCGCCCAATCCTAGGTGGCCAATCTGGGCGGTCGACCCTGGGCGACAGTCTAGGCGGTAGGGAATCTGCCTAGGCGGCCGCCCAAGGCTTGCGCCCCGCTCAGAGGCGGAATTTTTTTTTTTTTTTTTTGTTTTGATTTTTTTGAAAGATATAAAAGCTTAGAAGGAGGGGTTTTAGGTTCATTTGAAATCTAAACTCATAAGAACCCCTTTTAGAGAGATAGAAACGTCCAGAAAACTACATTTCATTGGATCGAAGTGTTTCTCAAAGTTTGGAGTTCGAGCAATCAAAGTAAGTGCAAAACTTTATTTTTTAGATTGCTTGTTTTATTTTGAGATGTCTTCTTCAGGAGTTAGTTGGAATGGAGATCCGGGTTGGAAATATAGATACAACCTGAATCCAAATGACAAAAATTGCGTTAGATGTAATTTTTGTGAAAAAGATACAATATGAGGCATAAACTGGTTTAAGAAACATCTTGTCGGTGTTAAGGGGGATGTTGCCCCTTGTAAAAATGTTCCTGAAGCTATCAGAGAGGAGAATAAGCAATATATAAGTTATGTAAAACAAAAATAAGAACAAAATCCTTGTCATAGATCGATTTCTGCTACTTTTAGAAGAAGTGATCCAGGTTGAAAGTATGGGTACAACCCAAAACCAAATGATAAAAATTGTATAAGGTGTAATTTTTGTGAAAAAGATATCAATGGGGGTATTAGCCGATTCAAAAAACACTTTGTTGGTGTTAGAGGTAATGTTGCTTCTTGTGCAAAGGTTCCTAAAGCAATTCGGGATGAGATTAGACATCTTTTGAATTTAGAAGAACCAGAAACGGATGAAAATAAGCCTTGTTCTAGGGAAGTATCTTCTCTAGGTTCTTCTAGAAGTGGTGATCCGGGTTGGAAGTATGGTTATAACCTGAATTCAAATGATAAAAATTGCATTAAATGTAATTATTGTAGAAATGATATTAATGGGAGCATTTACCGGTTTGAAAAATACCTTGCCGGTATTAAGGGGGATGTTGTCCTATGTAAAAATGTTCTTGAGGCTACCAGAGAGGAAATTATACAATATTTGAGTTCAGAGAAGCACAAAAAAAAGGGTAGAGCAGCCAAGACTCCTAGGGCTTCATTTGCACAGACTGCATATACTAGTAAGAGGAAGGTAGAAGAAGAGGAGGAGGAAGAGGAAAATTTAGAAGAAACAGATGAGGAAGAGCGTTATATTGAAGAGGGAGATGACTCTGATGATGATGGCCTCGACTCTGATGCATATGATGAGGCTTGCCCTATTGATATTCCTTCTGATGATGATGATGATGATGATTGAAGACTCTTGTCTCTTGGTGCTGAGTGTTGAATGCTGACTGTTGTGTTAAGTGTTGACTTTTGTATCCTAGATTGTATATTTTCTAAATTTCTTTATATTTCTGTTGTGTTGAGTGTTGACTTTTGTATCATACACTTGTATGGTTTTAACAGTTTACTATTTTAACAATATGGATTATCAAAATTCTCTTGTCTACTTCTTATCTTTTTTTTTTTTTTTTTTTTTTTCAATTTGGAATATGGTATTTTTTTTCAATTGGGCAGCCGCCCAGGGTCCAGGCCGCCTAGGACCTACCTAGCGTGTTTTGATACACTGGTCTAAAGTACTTGATGTGTAATGCTTGGAGCAATTGCATTTACTGAATTTTTGAGGGCTGAAGCTTAAATAATTACAGATGATCAGAATGAGTCACAAAATCAGAAAAATATAAAGATCAAGCAAAACTAGGAAAGCAAGAGAATTTGTAAAACAATATATTCCTGTTGTGAGTGAGCACTTTCAGAATAAAGATGGGTGAAACAACAAGGATGTTTTTTTTTTTTTGGGAAATTCAGTGGGGATGACACCCTTACCCGTTTTTTTTTTTTTAAATCGTTAGTGACTTTCAAATGCGTTAGGTGAGAATGGAAGCCTAGACCTTAGCTGAGGCACAAGTGGTGCTACCACCTCGACCCCAAATGTGTTTTGATCTTTGAGTGTTGCTCTAGCATGGGCCTATATTGTAGATTTAGATTTGTGGGTCCTGGCATTGAAAAGGAGCCATATCCAGAGCATGTCATACAAATTTACTAGAAGACAGAATTTTAAGCAATATTAGGTGGAAACATTTGGTTTGATGCACAAGGTTGTGTAGATTGCTTCCCATGAGCCACCGCAGCCTAAAATTGCCGCATATTGTATAGGCTTATGGCGCTTTTCGGGTTGCGGGGAAACTCAATTGGGGACCAAAGGGCTAACAGGGGTTTTGACTTCTTCAAGGTTAAATATACTTCCCCTAATTTGGCTAGAGGACTGTGAGGACTGATTTTGTTTTTGGCCCAATAGGGTTGCTGAAGCAGTCCGTATTGGCTTCAGCCACAGCAGGACTGCTTCAGACAAAAGTGGCCAATTAAAACTGAAGCTCATTCTAGAGAGTTTTTTGGGTATCGCTTCAATTCAGAAAGAGGCTGAAGCCCAATTCTTCAGCGCCTTGTGCTGAAATGAAGTGAACATTAAACCTGGCTATAAGATACCCTTTTGAGCAATTACAGTGGGAAGCTTTATCACATTCTCTGAATTTTTCCATGTATGTAATCCTCAACCATGAACCTGTCATCTTCCATGAACCTGTCATCTCCTGATCATGGGGACCATGACTAGAAGATCTTGACTGGGTATCCAATGGCACTGTTTATCCTCTAATTTTTATTATAGAGGTCGTGTCCTCAGAAATTTTGAATTAATATATGCCTTGAAGTGCTAAATTTTATTCAAATGATTTGAGAAATGTTGTGTACCCATGTAGCGAAGCCTTTTCGAGTTTGAATGCATTGTTTGCTTTTCATTGTTCACATGCCCTCATAAATGTCCGTATATAATGCTTTTAAAAATTTGGCATATATTATCATCTCTTAAACTGGTTTTTGTATAATTCATAATAATCTGTACATTATGATTGCTATCAGGTTACATGACCTTTCAGACTTTATCCATTAGGCAGATAAATGAATTGATTGCCTTGACAAATATATGGTGGGTTATTAATGTCATCTTTGTTTTTCCTTTACAGGCCTTCAGCTATCCCAGGACCTGTTCCAGATGAAATAGTTGTACCAGCTCCCAATTCGATTGGTTTGTATATGATGCATATTCAATATTTTATCCTTGATAGGACATTGGTTGCATTCCTTCAAAATACTTGTTTGCAATGTGTAGGCATAAAATTATTGCTGAAGATGGGATGGCGACATGGACGCTCAATTGGTGCTGGACCCACCAATTTACATGGTATGATTTTATTATTTTGATGGGAAACTTGTTCCAATGGTTTCCTCTATTGGCCTCATCTGTGTATGTTGATTTTTCCTCTATGGGTATCATATCTTGCTAGTGGTATTATGATTAGCCAAAAAAGGTTTTTGACTAATTAGCGAAAGAAAAGGTTGATCCACATATCCGATGAATGGTCAATGTGGAGTAATTCTACTGAGTGAGACCTTGTTGACTACCAAGACATAGATTGAAAATATCATCCATTATCCACTAGATAAAGGTGGAACCCAGCCGGGTGGGTAGAACTGAACTTATGCAAGTGGACATGCTAAAATTTGAAGCTCTTAAACCATATAGAGTGATCTCATCCAGTGGTTCCAATTGAATGTGACTTGTATTGTAGATTAATGGTGGAGGGAGTTTTCACCTCAAATAGGTTTTTAAAAACCTCTTGAGTGAATGCGTACTTCAAATGGCTTCAACCTAGTGGAGTATGGACTATGTGAGCCATGCAACCAACTCCCATTCCCCCAAACAAAAAAAAAAAAAAAAACGAAGAAAAAGAATAATAAGAAGGGTGCTCCCGAACCCTTGTGTTTTAAGCGATCGGATAATGAGAGCTTTACACTGAACTCTTGTTTCTCATACCAAAAGGTTATTTCTTCCTATGCTGATATACGTTGTGTCTGTTTCTCCTTGCCTTTCATAAATTATTCATGCCTTTCCAGGACCTGAGAATCCCTCACCTTACTGACATGGCCGTTGTGTAGTCTGAATGGTTAAGTTAATCCAGAATGGCACATCGTTTGCAGGACGAATGGCTGTAGGAAGTTTTATGTCGATGGTCCCTTTGAAGGCCAATTTTTTTTCTGAATGAAACATGGATGGAGTGTTACAAACCTAGGCAAAATACCATGCAGTGGTTGCTTGAACTTGCGCTGTTCTCTGACTGGTCATTTTGTAGACGAAGATGTTTCCGGTGCTGTTGAATACGAGGCTTTATGGAACATGTGGAGTTTCATGGGACTGGGAACCCTTGGAAGTTGGGTCTGTGGAATTTCCAGATATCCGTCTAAAGTTTGTCTTGTAGATTACATGGCCTATACTCTTGGGGTAAGTTCATAGTTTATTGCATGAAAGTGTACTGTCATAAAAAAGGAAAAAAGGATTTTTCAACTCTAGTGGAAAGGAGAATACTATAAGTTTCAATACAGTTACAGTTTCTGATCTTTCTGTGTCATCTATGAGAAAGAAAATGTTTGGATTCGGTCAGTAATGGGATTGGCATTCTTGACACACTGTGTCAACTTCACATGGTTTGGATTTGTTCAGTAACTTCGGTTATGTCTTTAGGGTATAGGAGCATTTTATGATGGCATCCCACATTCTACTCTCTGTATTCTGGTGGGTTGTTGCTGTAAGATTGCAGAGGAAACCAGTGACGTTTGGTTGGCGAGATAGTGCTCATCGTCATTCATTTTTTTTTTTTTGAGAAATACTCGTCCTCATTCATTAATCATAAATACCTAAATTTATTTCTGATTAAGCGAGTAAATGAGATTGTCAGGTCATCTTCAATGTACGCTCTCTCTAGAACTTTTCCATTGACTTCTTATTTGAAGTTTGGCAAGATTTGAATGAAAATATTCAGAAAGTACAATTCATGGAGCTCATACTGAACCGTTTGCTTTTTGAAACTCCTGGACGAAATCATGACTTAATATTCAGAAAGTACAATTCATGGAGCTCATACTGAACCGATTTCTTTTTGAAACTCCTGGATGAAATCATGACTTAAAGGCAGAGTATACGGTGCAGAAATATCTATGACTCGAAAGATTTGGCTAATTCATCAGTGGGAGCCCTTGGGTTTGGAAAGGAGTGATGGTGCCTTTTGAGTTCTGGACAAATACACAATTGAGGATGATTTTTTGACAGTTTTGATATTTCGCATTTTGTGCTACATAGTTCTTATGGAGTTCCCTCTTTGTCAGTTTTTGAGGCATTGGACAGAAGCCTTAGCGTAATGTAAGATTAAGAAGTGACAAATGGTGAGGCAGAGGATGATACTCCTGAGGCAGGAGACTTTGAATTTCAAAAGCAAATCGGAGTGACTGATTTCTGATTAATTGGCATCAAATGATTTGAGTATGAATTGAATGCTTTTGCAACCATCAAACTAAGGCCCATTGGGGTGCATAGATTTCAATGATCATTGCCCTCTCTCTTAAAGAGAGACTGTTTCTCCACCTTTCTTGCTTCTTCCAGAAATTAAAGCATCCTTTTTAGAAGCTTTGTACACTTACCTTTTGCGTGGTACTGAATTCTGAAACATCAACCAGTCTTGAGGTTTCTACTGTTTAGTTTAGCCCTTGAAAGCCTTTTTTCTCTCTTAAGGAATGCCTCCTGAAGGTTCTCTTTGAAATGGGTGAACTTCCAGGATGACTCTAGTATGATAAAGGTATAACAATTCATGCCAAGCTGGAAGACCATGGCATTAGAATACTTAGGGAGCTAATTTATAGTAGCATTAGAATACTTCGGGAGCTAATGAGACTATCTTAGTGAAATTCAAATGCCTCAATTCCCCATCGATCGAACCAAAGACTCAAGTTCCTTTTGGATTTTCCTCTTGATCAATAACAACTGCTGCATTGTCATCATATCGTATTATTATACTGTTGTCACATTTGAGTTCTTTACATGTACGTACAATTGCAGCTCTGATCACTTCTGATCTTTCCAGGGGCTGGGTTTACTTCACTCTAATGATTTCCAACAGAACCAACTACTTGCCAACCTACAGTAGAGATCTACGAGCAGGTACAAAGCTGGGAGCGGGGGAGGGAGTTAGCAGATAAGGGTAATTGGTAACCGGGTATTTTGGTCCCACCAAAAGCTTTTGTGTTGTTGCATTTCTGCTTTTGCCAGCAAGCTACATGCTACTTGGAAACTTTTGTGACATTGATGACTGGCTTGTTAGAGGATGGAGCGGTCCTTGTCCATTACCATGGAAAAGCATTGGAATTAGTACCAATTATGCACCAACAGGGCGAAAAACATGTATACAGTATCATTTATTCACCAATGGGACACAACACATGCATATTGTGTGTCCCTAGGCTTTGGTCTAGTGGTAGACATTAGGTTTCCTTTGCGGAGGTAAGGGTTCGAACTTTGAGGTTTGTTATAAGTATCGAACCACCATAACACAGCAATTTTCTTTGCAAGTGCAGGGAGGGAACACATGAATATGGCGCAGAACCATGAACAAGAACATTATTTTTAACTGGTCCCTTAAATGAGTATGCAGAATGAAGGAAATATAAAAGGAATGCCATCTGAGGCTATAAGTTTCTTGTGTGGTTATTTCTTGAACTTTTCCACCTTGGCAAGTTTTTTATTATCGTCGGAAAGTATGCATGAACATCATCTAATTCCCTGTGAAGGGCATTGTAAATTTGTCGATGGCCAATATGAAAATTTAGGTTCTATTATATTAGTTTGAGAAAGCTTGTTAGCTCTATGCACCAGTCGAGTAATTAAGTCTGCATGTGTTTTGATGATGAGAGGTCCCTTTTAGTTGAACAAATTGTGCTTTATAATACCCTGTTTTAAAAGAAAAGCATGCTTTTCACTTGTAGTCACTTTTAGGAATTTATTTCATGTTGAACCTTCACTTGGATGGATTATTGGTGGTTTGGTTATTGATTTCAATGGTCTGATGCTTCTTTTATTTATTGAGTGCGTTCCCTTAGGAGTACAATATATGTTTACTCCCTCATGCAAAACACTTACTTGGGATTTTTTTTTTTTTTGTAATTTAAAATTTTGGGATCCATCTAATTATAAATAGATGATTACTTTCAAAGAAAAAAAATTTGGATTCTAAGTTATTGAACATCTAGATCATTCCATTAAAAAAATTGGATGGTTCCAATGCAATATTGGGATGCCATCTTTTTTTGGCACATAGAGAATGAGAATAATTATTATTATGTTTCTTTGAGGTTGGTTGCTGTGTGCTAGAGATCACATCCCCAAAACTTAAGCTCTAAAAGAAACTAAGTGTAAGATTTGCCTGAGGGAGTAGATGGATAGCATACACCCATGGGAGTAGAAAATCTTTGGCTTATTTACTTATTTTAGTTTTCTATTTGATAGATACTCGTAGAGAAGCTAGGAAAGCATTCCTTGCATTTTCGTGCAATGAGGAAAGGTCTCGGCATATGGAAAGTAGACCTAATGAGCATGGTTATTTGGATTCCGAAGAAACCATTCCTGCTGCTGCTGCTGAGCCCTCGATCTGTCAAAGCACACCAGTGAGTACTGTTTGATGAGCTTTCTGGAAAAGCGTGGCATTCTTTACTTACGTTTTTATACTATGTGATCTGCCGCCACCATTTGAGTGTCACTATTATTTTTGCATCAATTTAATGAAGTTTTCAAGTCAGTAAGAATGTGATTTAGTTCTTGCCCATAAATGGAGATGTTTGGAGACATCCCTAACTAATGCGACTTTGAGTGTGCTGTATGCAACAGGTTTAGATTTCTTCTTTCTGCAAACTTTTCGCTTTTAATCATTTGGCATGTCGTATGATGGATTAAAAGCTACCTGCATTGATAATGAGTTAAAGGATATTAGGTGGTTTAGTTTGTGATGTTACTGGAAAGATTTCACTGATACTAACTTTGAAGATTTTCTGACTTGGAAGTTCGTGAGCTGTCCTTTTTTTATGCTTTCTATTCAGTAGTTAGTGAGCTTTCTTCTTGTGTAAGTTGCAGAATTTATTTAGGTGTGGCTTTTTCTCCTGCTTGTCTTATAATATTCTATGCTTAAGAAAATTGGAATATATGAAGTGTATGTTTGTCAGTTTGGCGCATTATGGTATACTAATGGTTGGACATGCATTCTTTGTTCTCCTTTGTGCTTTACATGTTTTCGACTATGCTATAAAAATACATGATCTGGGAGCTAAATTTCTAATACTCATGTCGAGAGACAATGTCTAGCTCTCATCCTTCCCCTCTTCCCTACCAGCTCTCCTCTCTCGGTCATCCATTTCGCCACTCTCCCCAACCTTCCACCTCTCAACCCCCGCTCGTCAACTCTTCCCTTCCCCCACTTTATGAAAACTGTCCATTTCTTGCAGCCTTCGAAGTCCTCCCGAGTTTCCCCTCTGCTTTGCCCAACCCAGCCTTGCATTTCAACCTTGTGGCCCAATAACCCCACCTTCCCTCCATCCCACTTCAGCCCCCCCCCCCTCCCCCCCCCAACCTTTCTCCATCCCTGCCGGGGGCCCACAAGTGGAGCATCTCACTAAGTCCCTTCAGCTAACTCTGGTTGGTTGTTTTCACTCGCAATGGAACGATATCAAGGACATCCAGAGGTTTGGCTGCTGAATCCTGGGACGTCTCAGAACTTTCTTGCTGAAAACTCTCTTATGGAGGTATCCTTTTCCTCCTTCCCATCGGAGGCTCTACTTCTCAAAGCTCTTGGACATCAACAAAGCTGCTTCCAAAAACATTTCCATGGAGCGCCCCTAACACTCAGCCGATGACACAAAGAATTGGGCTTGGTGAAACCCAGAAGATTTTGCTAGTCGTCTCCCATATCTCCACTACGCGCATGGAATGTTGACACTTTCTCTAAGATAAACCAGGCCTGTGGTGATTTCATCTCCCTTGACTGGAAATCTGCCACCTTGTTATCCTTGGGTTGAATCCAGCTTTTGGTTCCAACTCTTCTCCCTTCCCGCATTCCCCCTTTCCTTTGGCTTGAAGTAGACTTGTTTTTCTGCATTTCCGTCTCTTGATCCTCGGCCTCTCCACATCCCTCCTGCCATTCTGGCGACCATGGTCTTCCTGCTTCCGGACAATCGTTTGTGGACCACACACTTCCCATTCTATGGACCACGACGCATATGACTTCGCCATAATGACTGTCACTGTAGATCTCACAATCGAAAGGTGGGGTGTGAGTCAAAAGACTTCAATTCTAGACCAAATGGCTACGTGGTATCTCCCTCGCATGCAAATGGTAAAGCGCTAGCCTAACCCCTGCTACGCGCCGCTTCACCAGGCTTTCGCTCTCATGCAGTCTGCAACTTTCCAGCCCTATCCCTGCCATGTGCCCGCCTCGCCATGCATTTCCTTCGACGACCCAACTCGTCCATCCAATGACCACATGTCACCAGCCCTAACCTCTAACCCTAAAAGGCACGTACGCCCCTTTCCCTGCTGCCTTGCGTTTCCAGCAAGTTTCCCCTCAAGAGATCTCACCAAAATCCCCCTCACACGCTTCATCCCCATCGGACAATGTGCCTCCTCCTCTCTCATCCAATCGGGAGGCCACATGTATCCCACTAGGTCCGATCTGGGCTTTTCACACTCCATTCCAGCCGCCCGTTTTACCATACCCTCAAATTTCCATGTCCAACCTTCCAGAGGCTACGTCAATTGTGTGCCAGCTGTCTCCCATCGCCCAGCCTTTCGTCGGGCTCTTCCCCGATTCCAATTTTTGTGTTGGGTTGCCATCGGCCACTTCCCCATCCTCACTTGGTGGTGGCTATGCTCAAAGACCCTCCTTTCAGCCTTCCGCTGCTGTTTGCCTCCTATCGTATTCCTATGATTATGATATGGCTGGTCATTCGTCTCTTCTCCCACTTAGTGCGGAAAACGACCTTTCCATGTCGGCTCCTTCCCATTCCCTCTCCTGCCCCCACAGATCGATATCCTCTACCACCTCCACTACCCTCGCACTTCCCCTCATTTGCCCTGGGATTTCATCCACTTCATATCCTTATCTTTTTCTTATTCCCGAAGCCTATTCCCTATCTTCCTCCTCTCTTTTTGTCAATCTCTCCTATACTCTCTGCTCCCTTATTTCCCACCCCCATCGCTTAGGTTCTTTCCTCCACCTCTGGCCTCTCCTCAATCTTTGGCTCAGTTGTCGCCTCCTTCCACCTCCTTGCTAGAACCTCGGTTGTCTCCCTCCTCCATTTCCCCTTTGCTCCCTCTCTTCCCCCCCCCCAACTTCTTCTACAAGTCCATCACCCTCACTTCCAAGCTCCCCTGGAGGCATTCGCTCCCCTTCTCCCTTAAAACCATCACATTTACCCCTATCCCTGGCCTCATCCGATACCCAGCAGACCTTCCCCCCCCCTAACCTATCACCTCTTCTATCTCGTCCCCTCTCCCCTCTCCTTTATCTTCACTGCCCCCACCTTTTCACTCCCCCGACCTTTTCACTTCCTTTCCCTACTCCCTTCAACACATGTGCCCAACACCCCACAGTCCTCCACTCCCTTGGGTGGACCTCACCCCAACCCTTCTTTTAGTTCCCCTATCTCCTCCTGGGATCATTTGTATAGCTCGCCTGCAGACTCGACAATCTCTGTGGATTCCATCTTTGTTCAGGACATGGATTGCGCCCAAGGAAATGTGTTAGAGGTTCTTCGGGTGATGGGCTTCAAATATGAAAGACCCAAGGAAGTCTTGTTGGATTAACTTGACACTGATGCCTCTCCCCATTCCAAGACTAAGACAAGAGGTAGAAGGGAACTTTCCAACCTTGCTTTTGCTATCAATTACGACAGAGGTGTACAATCGGCATCCCACAACACAACATCAGCAGAGCGACACTCCTCGGTGAGGCAACCCTCTTGGCGCTCGTCAAGGCTCAACAACCCCCCTTTACTTCCCCCATGAAGGTTTTGACGCACAAAAGAAATGCAACCCGGGATTTGTGTTCTAAGCTATGCCCTTCTATTCTAGCCCTCTTAGAGACCAAGATCACTGACCACCCTTCCCTTTCCCAAGTTAGGAGTATCTGGGGCCGTAGACCTTGCAACTGGCTCGCCTTTGAGGCTCATGGGGTTTCAAGAGGAATTTAGTTATTTTGGGATCCGACGCAGCATTCCCTTATCGATTTCCGAATTGGCGCCCACTCTGTGACCGTAGTGCTCTCTAGACAAACAGATGGCTTGCAATGGAAGTGCACAACAGTGTATGGCCCAAATACAAACAATCTTAGGCCTAGGTTTTGGGAGGAACTTCAATCTTTAGTCTCTTTTGCTTCACTATTTTGGTGTTAGGGAGAGGGGGAGGGGGAGGGGGAGGGGGGGTGGGGGGGACTTCAATGTCACTAGATGGCAACCACAACCACTCCATCTCTCTAGCAATGATTCAATTCTTCCAAAACCAGCTCATCGACATACCCCTTGAAGGGGCACAATTCGCTTGGTCCAACCATTTTCTCAGTCCCTCCCCCTCTAAGCTCGATAGGTTCTTGACTTCATTAGAATGGGACAAATTTTTTCCGAGAACTATAGTGGTGCCCAAGCCCACCTCAAACCATCGTCCTATTGTCCTTGATTTCCAAGCCTTACCTCGGGAACCAAGGCCTTTTCATTTTGAACTAGCTTGAATTGAAGAACCTAACTTTGTTAACCTGGTTAAGTCTTGGTGGGCCTCCTATTCCTCTTTAGCCTTTGGTTGGGCTGGATACCAACTCCTGAGGAAACTGCAGCTATTAAAGATCGACTTGAAGTAGTGGAGCTCCCAGCTCCTTGGAAATTTTCGAGCCCAAAAAGGGACCCTTCTCCACTCTATCCATCAGTGAGAAGCTGTGGAGGAGACTAGAGGTCTTTCCTCTACTGATTGAGACCTTTGCTCAAAGGCTAAACTTGATTACCTTCTCCTTCTTCGTAAGGAAGAAATGTACTAGTCCCAGAGGACAAAGGTCAAATGGCTTAAGCTAGGGGATCTCAATACAAGGTATTTTCACAAGGTTGCTAATTGCAGGAGGCGTGGAAATTTTGTTTCTCACCTCAAAGTGGATAATGTTATACTTGATCAACCTACTTTGATAAAGGATGCTGCTGTCCAATTCTTCTCTCGGCTTTTCTCCTCCCCTACTGGCCCGAGACCTATAATGCACGATTTAACATTCTTCACCCTCCCCACTGATAGATCCACATGGCGGAATGCAAATTTACAAAGGATGATATTCTTGACTGATTTGAGGCCTGATAGAGCTCCTGACCCTGCTAGGTACCCCGCAGTATACTTTAAGACCTCCTGAGAATCTATCAAGCGATATGTGATTAATTATTTTATGAATTTCATTCTCGTGGAGTCAGAAGTAGAGTTGTGAATGTTACTTTTATAGCCCTCGTCCCCAAGATAGAAGGGGCTGAGGAGCTTAAGGATTTTCGGCCCATCAGTTAGTGAATACCTCTTACAAGCTTCTCTCCAAAGTTCTCGCTTCTAGATTGAGAGCGGTCCTCAACTAGGTAATCTCTCTGACCAAAGGGTCTTT